TTTCTTGATAACACAATTCCATTCGCGCAGGCCAACTAGGAAAATCGGTCAATGATTGCTCGCAGGTGGCCTTTAATTTTCATATCTGTCCAAAGTCTTTTTTAGTCGCCTGTTTCTTGTCGTCACTTATCGAAATAACATTTTCGCTTGAATTTTTCCCTTGGCCGGTGGTCTGTGTTTTGATAATAAGATGCATTCTTGTACCAATAGTTTGTTTTCATATCCTTAGATAACACATCCCTACCCACTCAATCTCATTGTCATTGTGATGACACTCTTCCGCCATTTGCCACTTATCCAAAATAACCCTTTTTTTATTGCCTCTTAAGCAGTGTGTGTGTGTTCACTTATCACCTATGATCCGTCTCGCATTACTTTTTCCCTTCCTTACTTCTTTTCTTTCCTTTTCCCTTTTTGCCTTTCTTTCTCTGCCTGGATGCATGGTGCCACACAGAGCAGATTTTGGGGTAAATAACAAAAGGATAAAACATATTGAGAAGTAAAAGGGAAGTGGAGAGCCATGATCGTCTAAGTCCTGAAGAGACACGGCACATATCAGAAGAAGTTGACACAAACATATATATATATATATATATATATATATATATATATATATATATATATATATATATATATCCCTGACGATCGGCTTAGGTGAAACCTGGGTCGGTTTGTCTGGCTCACTAGGTTTATCTAGGTCTGCTTTACGGTTGTATTGTGCTCTTTTGTTAGTTAGGTGTTTACTCATATCGGGGTTTTTTCTTTGGGCTTCAGACCTGCATCTGTGCGATTTTTTTTTTCGACAGACTTTCATGTTTGGATCTCTTTCTTTTTTTAACACCTTTTCTTCCCTCGAGATTGTTTTGATTATTGGCAAATCAAAAATTCGAGGTTTTTTCGAAATGTGTATAGTTACCTATATATATATATATATATATATATATATATATATATATAATTTGCAAATTGATTTATACATCCATATACATGTACAAAAGTATGGGCTGTCGAGAAAAATAATAAAAAGTGAAGAGGATGAGCTTTCAAGAAGCATGTGATCTTCGTTGCAGCATAACGATAACGCAAGTGAAAAAATGTGTTTCCCTGTAAATGGGAAAGCAGGTTCGACTCTTACCAGAGAACACATCCGAACTTGTGTCTCTCGAATTCCCAGGCTAATATATGTAATAGATACGTATTAATATATAAAAACACGACTTTGAAAGGAGGGGAAAATCTCTAGCAATGGGTTTATTCATCTGAGGAAATATATATATATATATATATATATATATATATAGAGAGGGGGGAGAGAGAGAAAGAGAAAGAAAGGGAGAGGAGAGATAGGTATAGATAGAAACATATATGAAAGGATAGATAGACGATTATAATTTATGGCGATAACTTCATTGATTGAAAATTTGCACTCATATTAGTTCCTGAGTAAATGTCATAATAATAAGTCAATTATTAGTATGAATATATATATATACACACACACACACACACACACACACACACACACACACACATATATATATATATATATATATATATATATATATATATATATATATATATATATATATATATATATATTTATTTATGTATATATAGTATATATATTGTCCATTGATCTAAAAGTATATGTTTTTTTGATGTTCTTGTGTAATGACAAACTTTTTTGAATTGGGAAATAGACACTGGTATTAAAATACAACTCATGCCTTTAACGTTGCCCTCTCGAACTCACAGTGATGCGATCTCCCCAATGCATTGTACCAGTTCCCTCCAAAATGATATTTTTACAGAAGTCAGTTTCCATAAATTGCCTGAGGTGGTTTTCCACTGGCTAAGGTAGATAACTCTTGCTTTACGCGAATAAGTTCG